GGTTTTGAAGCAATTGCTTGATTTTGCCAGACGAGTCAGAGGTTTTGTGAATTTAGTTTGAGTATTTGGATTTGTGTTTAAGGTTTTGAGAAAATGAGTGGTGGTTTCAAGAAATGTGTTTTAGCAATTCAGAAAAACTGTAACGTACTGCTGCAGTACGGTGCCAAGCCCAACGCTATCACTGTGGTATGTACTGTAAACACACACAAACAAAGTGCACACACATAGACACACACACATCTCATTAGTTTTTTCTCCTTGTCCAGAATGGTAACACTGCTCTGGGTATTGCTCGGAGGCTGGGCTACATCTCTGTGGTGGATACTCTCAGGGTCCTCACAGAGGAGATCATCACCACCACAACAGTAAGTCACACCCACCCACTGTGTGTAGCCAACCTCATATTATAGAAATCAGGAAACCAGTTCTTCATTGGCGGGATCACTGGTTATGACTGCTCCTGGATCTGATCTGTCTGCCAGCTTTATAATAGTCAAAGTGAAGAGTTACTGTATGGTTCAGTTACCTTTGGCACATTCATGTCATGAGAGATGTAACGTATTGACAAGACGGCTGTAGGATGGCGGGGTTGGCTGTGTGTGTATTAAAATACTTCACATTGGCAATATAGCACTGTATCCATACATTTCGGGTATAATTACCTTTAAATGTATACTTTGTCTGACATTAGTTGTTCATATTTGTTTGCTTTCTGATGCACTTGTGTGTTATTAAGCACCAAGTCAGATGGGCTGTTTTGTAATTACAACATGGATTTTGCCATAAACATGTAATAACAATAATGTCAGTGAAGTAATTACTTTAGAAAGAAGCTACCTCCTCACTTTCTGGTAATGATGCTCCATCACAGGACAAACGCTGTAAACCACTTTTCAGAGAGTATTCTTTGAACTGCAGTCATTTGAGGAAGATAATCTATGTACGGTGTGAACGATAGTTAATGGGATCCATTAACTCCCTTGCTGCCAGACGGTGACAAAGAAACACAAGCTTAATGCTCCAGGGACTGTGATTGAATTGCTGGATGTCTCTGATGAAGAGGGTGAGTCACGTTATCAAGTCATTCCTTTCTTTTAATGATTTTGAGATTGCAATTCATGCTTTTATCACTTCTAGACTTGATTATTGCAATACTCTGTACTATGGTTTTAACCAGTCTCCCCTCACTCGTCTCCAAATGGTACAAAATGCTGCTGCTCGTCTTCTGACAAGTACTAGGAAATTTGAGCATATAACCCCAGTTCTGGCTTCTCTCCACTGGCTTCCAGTCTGTTTTAGAATTGATTTTAAGTTGTTGATTTTTGTTTTTAAGGCTCTTAATGGTTTGGCAACATCTTACCTCACTGAATTAGTGCATTGGCACAAACCTACAAGGGCCCTCAGATCTTCAAGCCAGTTTCTTTTAGAGGTTCCTAGGGCCAGATATAAACGCTGGGGTGATGGTGCTTTTACTGCTGCAGCCCCTAAATTGTGGAATAGTCTACCTTTTAATCTTAGATCAGCTACTGACTGTGTTTCAGTCTCCCATTTATACGCCCCTTTTCTGTTTGCTCCCTGATGGTTCATTGCTGTCTCATTGTTGATTATCACGTACCTGTGTTTCTGGCTCAACACTTACCTGATCGCCTTTCCTCCTGTGCTGATATCCTAAGCTCCGAGCTGGTGCGACTCCACGTTGCTAGCCTGTATTCATCCCCAGCCTCATGCTGCCAGCTCGCCTTTGTCCCCATCTTCACATGGTCTACCTGCCCTCGTTCCCCAACTCCACGCTTCCTACCTGTCTTTGTCTCCAGCTTCCCACTCCCTGCCTGCTTCATCCCCAGCACCCTGCTGCCTGCCTGTCCAATCCAGAACCTGCTCTTCCTCGGTTCTCCTTTCTCCTCCACCTGGTACCTGTTCCATATTTCATTAATAAACTCTCTCTTGTTCCACTCCCATACCTGTGTCTGAATATTGGGTCCACCAGTTACCTGCCTACTGTAACAGAAGCAACTGCAACCATATCAGATTTTAACAGACCTACATATCTACTAGAAATAGACCAGTGCTGGTCCTCAAATAAATAAGCAAAACTTCAGTCTGAGATGAATATTTATATGTCTGAATGAAAATGATGAGCATGTTTTCCCTGTGCCTGCGTGGGTTCACTTCGGGTTCCCTGGTTTCCTCCCACAGTTTAAAGACATGCAGATTAAGTTGACTGGTGACTCTAAATTGCCCGTAGGAGTGTGTGTGGTAGTTTGTCTACATGTCAGTCCTGTGATAGACTGGCGCCCTGTGATAGACTGGTGACCTGTCCAAACCCTGAAAAACAGCCCCATACCATTATCCCTCCTGCACCAAACTTCACAGTTGGCACATTGCAGGCAGGCAGGTAACGTTCTCCCCAGATCCACCAAACACAGACTCACCCATCTGACTGTAACTTGTTGCTCTACAGAACATGTTTCCACTGTTCCACAGTCCAGTGGCGGTGCATTTTACACCACTCCATCTGACACTTGGCGATGTGTGCATACAGCTGCTCGGCCATGGAAACCCATCCAATGAAGCTCCTGGTTTTGTGCTTACATTAATGCCAGAAGCTTGGAGTGTGCTTACATTAATGCCAGTGGAAGCTTGGAACTCTTTGTTGTCATCGTTGGTGACTTTCAAGCAGTTGTTGACCCCACTTTGTGACCTTACATGGTCTTCTGCTCTGTGGCTGATTTGTTGTGGTGTCCTATCACAGTACCACGCTTGAAGTCACTGAGCTCTTCAGAACAACCCATTTTGTTTCACAAATGTTTGTAGATGGAGACTGCATGGCTAGGTGCTTGATTTTATACACCTATGGCAAGTAAGCTAAATTAAGCTAAGCTAGGATCATGTTAGCCTGCATCTTAAAAATAAATAATGTTTTACTGTCTTCTAGTTGACCACTGACATCATTGAGGAGACTCCATGGTGTTTCTAGTTTTGCTGAACCAACCTCCCATTTTTTTCTCTTTACGGCAGGAGTAATTACCCCCCATATTTTATGGATAATGATACACAGGTCAACAGATTTGAGGATGTAGTTGAGAAGTTTAATAGGTTTTTTGTGAATGTGGGTCCTAGCTTAGCAAGTAGCATCTGTACAGACGTCAATATAAATAACAATACAATTGAAAGAAATATGTGTTCTATGTTTCTTAAGCCAATTGCTGAAAAGGAAATTATAGATATAGTGAATAAATGTGGTAATAAATCATCCAGTGATAGTGATGGTATCAGTATGACAATGGTTAAATGGGCAATCGAGGGGATATGCAAACCATTAACCCATGTTTTTAACATGTCGTTTCGACTTGGTCAGTTCCCCAATAATATGAAAATAGCAAAGGTTATTCCATTGTATAAATCTGGGGATAAGCACAACTTCACAAATTATAGAC